GTGAGACTACAAACACTCTTTTCTCGGTCAAATAGGCACCAAATTCAAAATTTATGTTACATTTCGACTACATATATAACCCACTTTCAATAAAGATTAATGTTTCCACGGGTGAAGTGCTTCTTTAAGCCTCTTGCTGCCTGACTCAAGATTTTGCTCCCCATGAACTGATACATCCAGTTGAGCTTGGCTTAACCGCTCATTCGTAGTTCGATGTGAGCTGACATCCAGGCCTCTTGTTGGCATGTATGTTGTGTGTGGGACTGATTTCTAACATATAGCACACTAAGACCTTGAGCATGCTATATTCTGGAAATGACACGTTTCAGTATGGCATTGCCACGGAAACAGCTGATGGAAAACAGCTGTTATTCTCAGCTCAGAGTGGCACTTCAGTATTCTCAATTTCATAATGCACTGATTAAAGCATGAGCATATGCCTGATTACAGTAATGGTATTTGTGGACACACACAGCTATAACCTTAACCGACATGTTCTTTTCATATTAATTTCAATTAAAAACATTTTTTTTTTTTTCCGTGGCCTGGATGTTATTATTTTTCTCAATGGGTTGGTGAGAAACATGTTATTGAGGTCTTGTTTTTCATTTATTGGAGTATTGTGCCTCCATGTGGACATGTTGGGCATTACACTGTGAGCTTTGTGGGCGCACTAATGAATGACCAGGATATGAGTGTGTTGTTCCATTGTGTCGCCATGAACTTTGCACCGATGAGCACATTCCTGAAAGCAACAGTCACAAATAAAGAAATATGCCTCAGATCTGTCAATAGCTTTTGTGTTCCCTAAATGGTGATATTATCTAGCAGTCATGTTCTCATGAAAATTGACTTTGCAAACATGTCTGGCAGTAAATTTAATATCCGTCTTCATTTTGTTTTTCTTCAGTCACAATGGTCCCACTTCTGTTTTTGGTGGCAACCACAACAACATCCAATTCCACTGGCAATGGCAACAATACACAAGGTAAAAACTTTAACACGAGCAATGCACCTCGACATGTCAGACTGAACAACACCGAACAATTAGAGATAGCAACGGAATCCCGTCTCTATCCACTGCAGTCATCACTTTCCCCTAAGATATGATTATTATGCATCTTTCTCAGCACATACATCTGCTTGATAATAGCCTTTTCTACAGCCTTGTTATTACCGGATCACAATGAACTTAAGCCGTGGTGGACAATAATTTACAGCTTATTGTGCGTCTTTATAAACACAGCTAATAGCTGGCTGCGTGGCTGTGACTCTTGGCTGAGTCTCCATTCTTAGAGCCTTAGATTTTCTGTTAGACATACCGACAGGACAAAATGAACTGATGCTTATCTCTGTAGACAAAATACTGCTGAAGCCAGTTATTAAATCAGGCCTGTGGCCAGAAGCGAGGGAGGTTTGTTGCTATGCCAAGTTTTGATTTCGTTTTTATCACTTCATACAATATACACATGGCTGAAACACATGAATGCAGCCGAGCAATTGCACACACAAACATATGCGCATATATCGCTGGCCTTGCCCCCCTCTTCCTGTTTCTTTGTTGACGGTGCTCCCTGACCCCCGGCTCTGCCTCTCCTTCTTCCTCAGAAGACTTAACATCCTCCAGCAACCCCATACTCCCCACCGTGCTGGTCCTGTCCCTTCTGCTGCTCATCATCGTACTGCTAGCCTGGTACTTCCTCAGGTAAACTCTCTCACCCTGCAAGGACTCACCCACTTCACCTCACCCTCCCAGGGCCTCGCTGACTGGCTGTGAGCCAATCTCGGGGGCAGAGCTCAGGGTGACAAACACTTCCTCCTTTAGTCATTGAGGCGGAGCCCAGTCAGGAAGCTGCTAGCTGACACTCTCTCATGCTTAGTGTGAAGAGAACAGGCAACCAGGCTGTGCCAGTGGACCTAGACAGGCAACAGAAGAGAACGAAGAACAAATTCTGTACCACATTCGGACTAGAGCACTGCCTTTCCAAGACATCAGCTAATGAGAAAGAATAGCTTCTCAAGTTTCAGATGGTAGGATGGATATGCTTTTGATGGCTACCTACATCATTTGGGAGATCTTAAATGTTAAATGCTTTAGCTATGCTTATAAACTGAAGTTGAACTTATTTTGCCATGACACCACTGAATCTTATGTTTTGTGCCATTATGTTCTTCTCATTTTATTGTCTGTTTTGTCTGTCAGGTTAAAAAACCAGAGAAAAGCAGTCGTCACAACAGTCGACAAGAAGATACCAAATGGCATCCTGGAGGAACAAGGTAACATTGTTTTAAATTGGAGACAGCAAACAGCAAGACATATTATAGATTGTAAGAGCAACAGACAGGCTAGCAAAAGAAGCAGAGCATGTGAATGCAAAGGACAGAAGCATGAGGCAAAGAAATAGAATGAGATGAACACAGACAGTGGGAGGCGTGAAGGAGGCTTTAGGTTTATGTTTGTAGCTGTGTGCAGATTGTCCCACCACTGCATTGTGGTTGTGCTATACTTCCTGTGGTTAATGTGAAAAACATCATCGCCTTCTTTTATATCTTTTTAACACTGCATGTGAAGTTAGCATACGCTATAGTTGGTGCAAAGATCACAATAGCTGTCACTGAGCTTCTAGCAGCATAAGAGCTGCTTAAGAGCTGATATGTGTGAAGTATGCTAATGGATATTGGACTTTGCAGGAAACATGTCTTGAGGACCTGTGAATGTTCTTTAGGAAGTACTTTCTTATCTGACATTACAATAGAGCGTACAGTGGAGGTTGTATTCTTGCAGATAGGAATGTAACTTGGATATATGGCTGTAAAACACACAGCACACCCAAAAGCAGTGGTAACAAACACTGAGCAAAGTTGAGCTGCTAATTACTGTGATTGTAAACACAAACAAACAACTACTTTTTGTAAGAGTTATATTAAATTTTAACTTCAATACTTTACTGTGCCTCGGAGGCATTATAGTATATATTAAGATGTAATGTTAAATTAGTTCAGGAAGTAGATGTTCTGCATAATTTGAAAGCAATTTGTTATAAGGCAGGTCTTATTTATAAAGAAATTATTAAACAGACACCTTCTCACACTGTTTTATTGAAATTACCACTTGTTATTTTTCTAGTTGATAGAACTAAAACCATTAGTGTCATTCGTGGGCATGGTAACTGCATTCTGTCTTATGAACATGATGTTGTCATAATGCAATTTTTAATGACATGCCTTTATGACTCTGTACGTGTGTGTGTGTGTGTATGTGCTGTATGTGACTTGATATGTGTTGTGTTTTAGAGTTTGGATACAGTACTGAGTCGTTATACACCATTGTACCACCAGGTCAGGTATTCAGGGTGGCGGTATCAGGAACCACATGTTACTAACACTCTCTCAGTACTTTTTCAACCTTCATTTTCCAAATTGTGAACGCTAACCAAATGCGTAGTCGGGTGCTTAAAAGAGGTTTCCATTCAAAAACCTGCCTACAGGGTGCTGTAAGTGGCTTCTCCCTCGGGTCCTTTGGTTCTCTAACACCTGTTGATGTTTGGTGATCATTGAATACTTGGAAATTATTGTGTTGTTGGCAAACATGCATCAATATGTCCTGTCAAGATTTGAAATCAGTGTGGTAATCATTTTGGTCTTTGGTAGTAGTAGGTGTTTTTTTAAAATCTTTACAGCGTAATTCTATAAACCTATTGTCTAAGTCAGTGATTCCCAACCCGGCTAAATGTATAGCAGGGATACACCTGCTGATGCCAGGGAGAACATGGAAATTAAATTTAAAAAGTAGAAATTACGATTTAATTTAAAATATATATGCATATATTAAGTCACCTGTAACGCCTGAGGACTATGTGTTGCAATTGAGAGTTTATTGTTTATTTAAAGATCCCCATTAAAAGCACGTTCGTCCCTGTAGTCTTCTAGAGGGTGTGAAAACAACTAAATGGTTTAAATATTTATCAAAACGGAGTGGATAAAATGGTTAAAATAGTTAGCGAAAAAGTAATGAATAAATGGTTTTACCAAACCAACCTAAACACTGACATTTGTATGAAAACATTATTTTACACTTTTATAGATTTAATAGTGTTAAATAACATCCAGTTTGAAATTAACTCCAATGGACACATTTGAAACAGGATAGGAGGTGTGATAAAAATGTTGGGAACCACTGCTCTAATTAAACCCAATCCTGTTTTATATCCTGTTTTAGTTTCTCTGAGATGGTAATTTAATAATAATAATAATTGCATAATTTACAAAGTTAAATTAGTTTCTTTAACCCAACGAATAACTCACCATCATAACATTAAATGATATCAGTCCAGCAGGGATGATAAACCCACTGACTATTCTTCCTACAGAACAACAGACGGTGGTCCTTCTTCCAAGATCGCCTTCAGCCTCTAAGACCTACTTACCCCTCCCAGTAGAACTCCTCGAGGAGGAGTACAGGCTTCGCTCAGCTGACGATGGCAAGCTCTTCAGGGAGGAGTACAATGTAAGCATCTTCTATTCCTCACCTGGAGGTTAGAGTAACAGGTGTTCATAAGGCAGTCTTAGCCTACAAGCGCTGGACATAGTGTTTACGTCAGACATCTGGGGTTAAAGTAATAAGTCACTGTGGTGCATACAATCTCCATGATTTATAAGATTGCTCAAATTTTGGTCAAGTGGGTTCAGAGTTCAGGCCTGTGTTGATTTGTACTCATCTGAGACACTATGTAATGGCCACTTCCATATTATACTTTTTAAAGCTGTGTTTAACCATGCAAGTTAGTTAAGAATTGTAAAATATCCACTAACAAACACTGTAAACAATAACATATCCATATTATCTTCATTATTAATATAATTATTATGTGTGTATATTTACATTTTTTGTTCATTGCCCACTGCGATATGCCATTTGTTCATTAGAAAATAAGACAATGACTTTTTTATTCATGAAAACTACGGGAGATATGTGTCACATTGTCCATGACACACACACTGTACACACATACACCCACATGCATGAAAAATACCCTATTGCCTATTTGTGACTATTGTTGAGGATCTGAGTCAAAAAGAAGTATGACTCATGGTTCATGTCTCACATATAAATATGATTTTATTCAGACAGTTTGTCAGCACAGACAGAGGAAGTTAAAGTGATCTGCTTTTAAACGAGGGCTGTTCACTGTAGGTAGCAGAGGAAGTGCCTTTCAAAGCCTTACATACTGTACAGCAGAACACAATGCACATGAGCAGTTAAAAGTCAGCGTGTTCGTCTTGTTTTCAGTCTGGAAGGTGTAGAATCTGACTGTAATTTTGTTTTGTAGTCCTTGCCAGGGGGTAATGCCCAGGGGACGTACGAGGAGGCCAACAAAGAGGACAACAAGGAGAAGAACAGATACCCCAACATCCTTCCTTGTGAGTGTACTTTCTGTTCTGTAGGTTCTTTCACAATCACGCCCAGAGCTCACAGCTTCCTGCCTGTGTGTGCACGTGTCTTTGAGTGTTTTTTTTTTTTTTTTCCAATTCAGATACAGTAGATCCTCCCCAACAGCTCATGTATTCATTCACAATGAAACACCTTGGCCTTTAGAGTTTCCTCGCCCTTCTTCCTTTTTACAGTTGCAGTTCCTGTCCCTCCTCTCTGTCTCATTAATAATTAATTGTGTAATGTTTTTTTTATTAGCTATGCCTTCTAGTCCTTAAATAAGTAGTTGGACATTTTATGAATTACTATTATTGGCTTTCATGGCGATACTCACGTCCATACAGCAAATATGCAGCTGGTGCCAACAGCTGGTTAGCTTAGCTTAGCATAAAGACTGGAAACGTGGGGGAATCTGCTAGCTTGCATCTATCTAACTACAACAAAATCAAACAAAAAACAGCTCTGTAATTAATATGCTTTATCATTAATGTTTAATCATGATTAAAAAAACGACAATTTGAGGTGGACTGTTCTTTCCTAGAAGCAGTTGCCAGGCAACCAGCGGAAGTTACTCCTCCTGGATTTTGTTAGCTTTGGACAGGCTAGATTTTTCCCATTGTATTCAGTCGTTATGCAAAGCTAACCTAACCGGCTGCTGGATGTAGTTTTGTATTTACAGACATACATCAGTCTTAATCCCTAAAAGTCAAACTATTCCTTTAATGGTTTCTGTGCCACCTGCCTAGTCAAACAGCCTCTATGTATTTTTTTTTACGCTGTAACCCTCTAAACTTATCAATGGTATTTTCACCAACAGATGATCATTCCAGAGTGGTGTTGAATCAGCTGGATGGAAATCCCTGTTCAGACTATGTGAATGCTTCTTACATTGATGTAAGTTATCATCATTCTGTTAAACATGGTAAACACTGACTGTACCAAAATAACATTTAAGGTCTTAATTTCTTATGGATGTTCTGCTCCACAGTTTCATCATAAATCAACTTAATATTTGTTGGTTGGTAACAATCTCACTGCAAGGTCCATTAGCTATTCTGGAGCTTTCGATTGTATCGCACAGTCGTTCTCGACAGGCAATGTTCGAACAGGAAACAGCAGCTGAAGAGACAGTCTCACCACAAAGTCCATTAGTAGCTGTTCACAGCTTTATATTCATATTTTTAACTATTTTAATATTCTTCTCTAACAGGGTTTCACGGAAAAGAACAAATTCATAGGAGCACAAGGTAAGATACAGTGCATTTGGAAATGACATACATAACTATGTTGATACCTTGGTTATTAATTTGTCTTAATAAATCATTTGTTACTATAATTGATATTGAACATTTTTGTCTCACAGGTCCAAAAGAAGACACTGCAGCAGATTTCTGGAGGATGATATGGGAGCAGAAAGTAGCGACTGTTGTCATGCTGACAAATCTGAAAGAAAGGAAAGAAGTGAGTGATTTTTAGCCTGGTTAGATGTGTCCATGAACAAAATAACATTGCTATGAGCACCAGGGTTTCTTCTCCAGCCGGGTCTCTGCTTCGACTCTTCCTCAGGATTAATGGAGCATCACAAAAAGATTTGAGATGAAATGTACTTCAAATAGTTTTCACTGGTTATGGTCAAAGGTGAAATCATACAGTTTAATTTAAACTTCTCATTGTCACACCTGTAATCTCCCCTCTGACATCTCTTTCCTCTGCTATAATTGTGCAGTCTTTATTGCGAACCAGAGCTCATTCAATGAACAAGGAGAAGAGAAAAAGGCTAAAAAGATCAATAAGAAGAGAACTGGCGAAGATTTAAATCAGCATGTGGATGGGTTGAAATCAATGGCCACATAATGTGTTATTAAGTCCTCTAAATCAGTATCATAATCACCCAGCAACGTCTTTATATTGAGTGGTCTCACCTCTGTCTTACATTAATCTGGACTGACTGGCTGTGAAATTGAACCATGTGTGTTTCTGCATCTGAACCATTTTGTCTATTGAAAGGAAAGTGTTTGAATATGTTACACAAGTCCTTTTGTAGGTATTTAATTTATTGAATAATGGATATAAATAATCTTTATCTGCCCCCAGGACAAGTGTTACCAGTACTGGCCAGATCAGGGCTGTTGGACCTATGGGAATGTGAGGGTGGCAGTAGAAGACTTCACTGTCCTCGTGGACTACACCATACGCAAGTTCTGTATACAATATGTAAGTTTCAGGAAATGCTTACGTAGTTATTGTGCTTCATAGAAATTGTAACAATGTTAATAGAAACGTGGGTGGTATTTGTAACTGCATGTTGTATCATGTAAAGTTCACTTCCTTTTTCATTGTAACTAGACTCTACCTCTTTCTGAGTAACCTCTGAAAAATCTTGCTCTAAGGCACAGCAAATATATCCAGATCATTGAGTAATAGCTCTTGCTACTTTGACAATGGTTTTGGTGGAAACTGAGATTCATAAAAAGATTGCCCTGAGGCCAGAACAGTTCTGTTGCATCTTCAAACTTGCCATGCAAGTTATGTTGACACTGTTAACTCTGTTTTTTGTTTCTATGTAGCAAGCCACCGATGCCGCTAAGACTCCCAGACTGGTAACCCAGCTCCACTTCACCAGCTGGCCCGACTTTGGAGTTCCCTTCTCGCCCATCGGCATGCTCAAGTTCCTCAAAAAGGTCAAGGTGGTCAACCCAACCTTCTCTGGACCTATTGTGGTCCACTGCAGGTACCAAAAGAGCTAATTATTATTATAATTACTATTATTATTTTGTTGTTTACTTGGATCTACATGCCTTTGACAGAACATACTTTTAGTGGCTTTAACTATTCAATTTGTTTCTATGGAGATAAATATACTTATGGTGAAATATCCTCTTTGTGTGTCTGCTGGGAAACAAACTGTAAACTATGGCTGGAAACATTTTGTGTGACTATAGCAATACATGTGTTTACAAACACAGATGTTCCTTTGTTTCACTGCTGTTGTCTATTAACATGCAAGTGTCAGCTGAGGATTGCGGTCATTCACTCTGTGGTTTGTATTGTGTCCCTGCAGCGCTGGTGTTGGGCGGACAGGAACCTTCATCGTAATAGATGCAATGATCGACATGATGCATGCAGAGCAGAAAATTGATGTGTTTGGATTTGTCTCCAAGATACGAGAGCAGCGCTCCCAGCTCGTTCAGACGGATGTGAGTTGGAGACGGGACAAGTTCCCACTTGTTTATCATGTCAGCCATATGACACAGCACAAATATTTGTAAAGTTCAAATGTGCCAATGCATAGCGTGTGTGTTCATCTGTTTTTGTGTATTCTTACCCCAGATGCAGTACTCATTCATCTACCAGGCCCTGCTTGAATACTACCTCTATGGAGACACGGAGTTGGACGTGTCATCTCTGGAAGGTCATCTGCACAAACTGCACAACACCTTTGCAGACGGTGACCGGGTCGGCCTAGAGGAAGAGTTTAAGGTAAGACCAATTATTTTACATTCTGGCGCATGAAGGATCACAAATATCAAGCCTATTTTATCTAATATATTTGTACAAAAACCACAACCATGTACAAGAAACTACCTCAACCTAAAGAGCATAGGATTTTTAAAAGTTTTAACTGCTTTCCATCTATAGTCCCTGGCAGTTAGACACGAAAACTAAAAAATACACTACATAATACAATGATATGATAGATTGGAATAGCTCCTTCACAGCCATATCAGCTCCAAGTATATACCAATTAACATGTACCATTACAAAACACTTGTTTGAATGCCCTTGTTGAAAGGTGCTATAAATATAAATGTCCCTTGCCTATATTTATCACTGAAAAAACGTGCTAATACAAGACATTTGTTGTGTTAGAAAACAGCCCAGTGTAACTGTTTTATTTTCCTATTAAATTTGTGCGTAAAAAGGATACTGAACGGTTTGACTTTGTTTGCTTGATTTCTGCCCAGAAATTGACCAACATGCGAATAATGAAGGAGAACATGAGAACGGGGAACCTTCCTGCAAACATGAAGAAGAACAGAGTTCTGCAAATTATTCCATGTAAGAAAGAAGGAAAGTCATAGAACATAAAATGGATTGGATGTCTGTATATATGAACTCATGGCAGATTTTGTCATGGTTATTATTCCACTCTGTATACCTTATTCTCTGTGAACATGTTTATACTATTAAGTTTCTCTATTCTAAAAAAGTCTGTTCCCATTTCAGATGACTTCAACAGAGTTATTCTCTCCATGAGACGAGGCCAGGAGTTCACAGATTACATCAATGCATCTTTCATAGACGTAAGCAGATTGTATTACTGAATGCTTCCCTTGTTGCATCTATATCTTCAGTAGTTCTTAGGTATTGCCATTAGCACACATTACTGGACCTATACGGCCTAAGCTGTGTGTGTTTTACTGTAACTCAGGGCTACAGACAGAAGGACTACTTCATTGCCACCCAGGGCCCTCTTTCACACACAGTAGAGGATTTCTGGAGGATGGTGTGGGAATGGAAATGTCACTCCATTGTCATGCTCACTGAGCTCCAGGAGAGGGAGCAGGTAAGCTGTGATAGCTGATGGCTGCAAGCAAGCTATGATTGATTTCTTCAATAACCACTACAAGACTGCAACATAAACCATCTGTGCTTTGATTTGTTGCTTCTATCACAGAACTGTACTTTTATGCTAGTTCATGTTTGTGCAGTATTTCATAGTTTGAGCCAAAACAACTTTTGAATATTTACATTTCATATATGATGGCGCAGTTGCTGTTAAACTTTTTGCCGGTATTAAACAGACACACCTCTGTTTTTGTCTGTTTTTTTTGCAGGACAAATGTTACCAATACTGGCCCACAGAGGACACAGTCACCTACGGAGATTACACAGTAGAGTTGAAGGGAGACACTTTGTGTGACACCTTCAGCCTACGAGACTTGGTACTCACCTTTGTCCCGGTAAGCAAATTACCTCACACTATCACACAGCTGTTATTGAGCCAGTAACGCCACAATACATTTACTGTTTTACTGTAGCTGGTAGAAGTGGAGCAGGTTTTAAATACTGTATATACAGTTAGGTAGTTCAGTCCAGTTTTTCCCAACCTCGGGTTTGGACCCTCTCCAAAGGGTACCCCATTAATAATCTCATAACCATCAAAGTTTAGACCACCACATTTTTTGTGTTTTCTGTAATCTTTGCATTTTCATGATTGCATAATTTTACCACTTTAAGCCTCAAACTGAAAAAAAGCATTTGAGAAGAAGTCTGTCCTGGAAAATTAGTTATTGTACTACCAGCTCACAAAATATTCTTCCTCCTCCAAATCCTCCAACAGATCTTGCTTCCAAGCAAGAGTCATCACCAGCATTGACTCTAGAATAATGCACATATATTCATTGTAGCAGCAGGAAAGCACAAGATTTCCCTCAAGGTGTTATTTGACCTTCAAAATATTGTCAAAACTTCTTCTTGTCTTAGGACTTATTGTTCTCCTCCTATCTTCTATCCACCAGCTGCGCCTACTCCTTAAACTTCCTGCATATTTCGTTGTTATGCAGACACATTCACTTTCTCAGAACACATTGGTGCACTGGCTCCCCTCCAGGCTAAACTTTTACAGTGAGCTTTCTTGATTCAGATTTCACAATGACTTTGACAATGTAATATTATCACATCTACGTGTGTAACAGGAATTTCCCTCACAAGTCGAAATGTCTCCTTGGTGGAACTAATGATAGGTCATAGCCTACCGCAAACCTTTAACAGTGAAGTAATGTGGTGTGGAGACTATTGTTACATTATTGTGTGAACATTTTGAAAATTAAACTAAATTTAAACTTAAGATAGCATCATGCAAAATTAAATTTAATTAATTTTAACAGCATTTACCTTCTAAAGCTACACAGGATCTAATGTAATTGTCTTACAAAGAACAAGAATGCAAGTGAGTATATAAGACTCTCTCTGCTGCCAGAGGAAATGTGGTGGGCAGGATGTGTTTAGGATTATCAAGTGTGAGCCTCCCATCTCATATATCTAATTAAATTCGACCCACATCACCTCTCAAAGGTTCGGGAGTACATCCCTGCCTCACGGAGCAGCACCCATCAGTCCACCACTCATCTACCGCGCACTTAACCTACACTGACATTGCACCTGCCATTATACGCTTTCATATACTGCTAATAAATCATATTTAAAGGTATTATGATCTCTCGTCTGCCTGTGCATTTCCTCTCAAAGGAGAAGCAGACGAGGGTGATCAGGCACTTCCACTTCCATGGCTGGCCGGAGGTCGGCATCCCAGCCGAGGGGAAAGGCATGATCGACATCATCGCCTCAGTGCAGAGACAGCAGCAGCAGTCTGGGAACCATCCCATCGTCGTACACTGCAGGTAACTTCAAATCCCTCTTTTAGGCACATAATTTTTATGTTGGTATTGTCTACTGAGTTTTGCATAAGCCAGTTTAATAGAATTGGTGTTTGCAAGTCACTGTTCGTGCTTGAATTAATTTCTAAGATTTTTTGTGTTTGTGTGTGCGCTGCAGTGCTGGTGCAGGGCGAACAGGTACATTCATTGCACTGAGCAATATCTTGGAGCGAGTCAAGGCAGAAGGCCTGCTGGACGTGTTCCAAACTGTGAAGAGTTTACGCATGCAGAGGCCTCATATGGTCCAAACTGTGGTAAGTATCAGCAGAAGTGGATCCTAAATAAGTGCTAAAAAAAAGCCCCCATTTCCTGCTTTATCTTGACTGAAATCGATTTTACAAGCTACCAACTAAACCGTTGTTTCTGTTTCCTCGTTCTTTTCACAGGAACAATATGACTTCTGCTACAGGGTGGTACAAGACTTTGTCGACATTTTCTCAGACTATGCCAATTTTAAATGATGAGATTTGCCTTAAACATGGTTTTTAATGTTGTTTTCTAAAGCTGGTTTGTCAGTTTTATGTGTTACTTTAACTTGGTCAAATGATCTATTTTGCTATGCACTTGTCCTACCATTAACTGAAACTCCATCCTCGCTGTAATATACTGTATGTCAGTGGATGAAAATTGTAAATGAAAAAAGTTAGATTAATAATGTATATTTCACATCATGTATGATAATTATTTTGTCATGAAGTGTTGTTCTGAACTTGGTCTCTTATTTCAGTTTTGTTGTATAATACTGTACTTTAAATGTTTATCTAAGTGTTATTTTGGATTGACCACGTAATATTTTTAAAAGTTGTAGTTATTGTAAATGTATTTATGTATTGATGATGACATTCCATTCTTGAGTTTGGAGAACACGACGGGAATGTTAAGACTTTTTTTTATGTAAAAATACAGTCCATTCTTTCATTTATTAGTGACTTCTATCTGAGATTAGAGGCGATATTTAAACTATTTTTCATTGTCCTTAAGCTACATGCCCATCACGAATGTGATACTCTTTCCAATGGAAATATTGTCAGAAAAAGAATAAATCACTTCAGCCATAATGCAGAGAACGTAAAGTTATGCAAAGAGGCCGAGGTGACGATACAAGGATTGATTTCCAATAAGGATTCAGGCAGAAGTTTTATAGTTAGACGTTTCAGAGTCGTGAAAGACCATTAAACTGGTTTTATACCTCAAAAAAAGTGGTATGCAACTGCATTTAACATGGATGTAACATTACTACAGTCTGCCTTTTGTCTGTAGACAGCAAAAAATATTTTGCTAAAATGACTGCACATTAAAAAGCACATATAACGCAGCCTTTTGCCAAGAACCTGCAATATTCAAGAGTATGCTTATTGCTTCATTTATATTCTAGATTAGAAAATTTTCAGAAATCAGTGCCATATGTACATTTTTAAGACATGGAAAAGTAGAGCAACCCTAAGTTGAAGGCCAAGCACTGAAAGGTAATCCTAAGAAAAGTTAAGGTAAGTGTGATCACTGAATGCAGTAGTCAGTATGATATAATGACAACTTGTGTCAGGTGCACAGTTAAGACAGGTATTCAAAGTGTAACATTAGATGAGTCCAAAACCACAATACACAAATGTGGTGCTTCAGTGCCTGCTTAATGCCAGAGCAACAAAAAAAACACCCCATACTATCAATGTTCAGTTACTTTATGTTATAGAATACGTGGGTTTTCACATCAAAATGAGGAACCAGAAGGTTTCATAGAAAGGATCTAGAGGTAGTTTCATACGTAGGAAAGTATCTGAATGTGAAACAACTTTTCTGTGCATTTCTTTGGAGGCAGTAACCCCCATCCATCTGGTACTCCAACATTAAACCAAATATTTGGAATGATTTGACCCGGCTCTAATTTAATCCTCAATGAGATGTGTAATTTTGTTGATGCTGTATGTAAATAGTACATGACAAAGTGCTAACATTGTGAAAGTGGCTGAGCAGCAAGGAACTGTCACGTAATTGGTTATATTTTGTGTTTCATCTGTGGGAGATTTGAAGTGCAGCACAAGGAGAGACTTAACAAAACAACCCGAGTCTACTTTCCTCATGGCTTCATTTCTGTCAATGCTGTCCTTTTAAAAATATTGAGGAGAGTCTATTTAGACTACACCTCTTTGCCTTTGCTCTCTCTGTGGGTGGTCTATCCCCTTTGGATTCTCAATGTCTTTGAAATGCAAGTTGCAATATTAAATTCATTTGAAAATGCTTTGGGGGTCAATGAAAGTTTTCTTCAGAAGTCAGGGCTAGCGTCTGGAAAAAAATAACTATTAGTGCTACTGCAATAGCTTATACCTGTATTTCATTTCAACACATACTGGGTATTGCTCAAGCCACTGCAACTCGATGTGATTCATGTGAGTAATACACTGCATGCACTCTGCTTAACCCTGTATCACTTAATGACATTGTGACCTTAACAGTCAAACAATTTTTTTCTCAGAAAATAGTGAAAAATGCCCAACTTCTCAGAGCTCAAGCTGATGTTTTCAAATGTCTGTTTTGTTTACCAAAGCTGTTGGCTGATTTGCATTGAGAACAGATAATAATTAGTTAGATATACAAATCTTAATATGTAGTTGAGATGAGACCATCAGCTGGATCTTAATGTTCCTCAGAATCATTACTTTAAAAAGTCTGATTCTCATTATTATTACAATTAGTCCTGAGAAAAAAAAATGTATGATTGTCTAATCAATTAATAGACTACTCATTTAATCTATACACTACATTATTTTAGTCTGGATATTCAGGTTCCTATATGAACACTGAGGCAGGTTTGCTGTAATCTTTCCTCCTGTTCACGCTGACATTAATCGATCCTTTCCTAATTCACTTCAGTGTAAATGATATCAGACTTTAGTGTCTCAGTTAGTCAAATTAAGTGGATAAGTTACAATGTTTTTCCCCCAAACAGTGTTTCCTTGTTGAGCTGCAGTGGAAGGATAGAAACAAAGTGAGAACATTTTGTATTAAAAGGGCCAGTGTGTAACATTTAAGGAGCTCTATTGGCAGAAATGGAATAAAATATGTATAGTTATGTTTTCAATAGTGTATAATTAACTGGATATAGGAGTTATGTTTTTGTTACCTTAGAATAAGCCTTATATATCTACAGATACCGCAGTTTGCCTTCTATGGAGTCCATCATGTTGAACCACCATGTTTTTACAGTAGCCCAGAAGGGACAAACCAAACACTAGCTCATTCACATTTTTTATACATTTTGCAGCCACCACATTTTTCCCCTTCGGGCTTGGAAGGGGAGGTTGAAGTGACAGAGTTGCAATCTGTAACTACACCACTAGATGCCACTAAATCCTACACTGAACCTTTAAAAGGTTGTAACTTTAGAGCATATCTACTTGATTTGTGGCTGAAGCCTCATTTACTTTCAGATAAACAAGACTATTTCAGATAAACTGACTATTGTTTTCAAACAGCCATTAAAATTGATGAACCTACCCTTCAAGGTAATTTTGTTTTTTTTTTAACCCACAAAGGAACACAAGACTATAGAAATGTGTGGTTAAATACCAGCAGGAACAGAGAAAAGACAATAATGAATAAGGATGAAAACAGCTAAAGGCGGTTTGGACAAAGAACCACAACTGACTGTGATGCAAAAAAATAGAAAGACCTCAAACAAATCCAAAACATGCACAGAAACAAAGAGGTTCAGTTTCATTATTTCATTCAGACACATTTCCATCCTATTCAATAAAAAAGATACCTTACGCATCATCTTCTGCTGTAAGACTTTCAGAAACACTGGTTTCACTGGTTCTGTGACATAGTTGGAGACATAAAGGCAGATTTCTTGACCTGCGTAAGTACTAGTTTGCGCCAACAGGGGGCAGTGCGCCTCAATCTATATGTAGATGGGGAAATTCTATTCATTTAAGAGAAAATTCTACTGATAATACAATGTGAATTTCTGTAATATACCAGTCAATCATAATGTGCTCATTTCAGTGGCTTTATACTGACCACCAAAGAGCGAGACTGAGTGAAGATGTCAAACAGAGACAAATGCTGAAGCTGCTCTATAGACGGAGAATGATGATACAACTCCTACATGTCAGCATGATGAAACTGATTAAGATTATAGATATAGAACCATAAAAGCTTCGGTAAAAGTCTCAATCTCACTAGATCGCTTCACTGTTTTAAATGGTTCAAATCAATTATCATTATTTAAAAGCAAGTTCTTACAACATATTTGGATGATAATTCCTTGTTTAGTACTATTCTTAACTGTCTCAGACAAGAGACAAGACAACAGACAAGACAAGACACATGTTGAATCCAAATCAACAGTTTCACATCCCCATAAATTCAAAGCATTGTTTTCCGGTAAACAGTTCTAAGCAACAAAATCAGACAATTCATCATTACAAGACAAGCAAGAAAGTTCCTCTTTCACGGTGACAAGGTACATAAACAAAAGAAAAGAAAAGAAATGAAGAGAATATCTTCTATTTACAAATAGAAATGTGTGAATAAAGCTTTTATTCAAGTGATTGTCACCAGTCAACAGGGAGGAGTAAATTTAACCTATTTTGCCAAACAATCATGTTTCTTATCTCGCAGAAAAATCCAAGTGACAAAAAGCCTCTTTGTTGACAATTTCCATTTCCTCTGAGACCCAGTGCCATGGTAACACTCCTCAGCGGGTGGGGCTGTAGCCCAAAAAAAGGTCAGCATGAGTGAAGAGGTCATATGAATTATGTATTAACCCTAACTGACTCTCTTATTTTGATTGACCCCTAACTAATTATATTTGGTCTTTCACAAGGCTTCCCCTTTCCCTTCTAATATAATATGGAACACGAGCCATTTATCGGCATGGTGGCCTCCCCTGTGACCCCTCTGCTGAAATGCTTTCATGTGTGGCTTCGGAAACTAATTTCTGATTAGAAGTTTCTTCACTCGTTCTGTCACTTTTTCCCAAACATGCTCACATTCCTTTCACTGTCCCCTAAACGGAACAAGAATTCAAACCACAAATGCAGAGGAATTAAGTATTTGGGACTATACAAACATGTTATATTGTCATATGGAATCCATCTCATGCATTTGTAAAGAAATTCTGAAACATGTATTTGAATAATGTTGGCTTATTTAGAGCAGTGTGCCAGAGATGATCACTTTCATTCACATCTAAACCATGATCAGCAAAACGTAAAAAACAGAAGTATTTCAAATGTGCATTTTAAGCAATCAAGACTTTAAAGTGTTCATTTTAAAGTGTGCCACATGCAGATAATTGGTACTACACAAGAGATAAGAAATAGTTTTTTTCTGAAACATGACCACAACCATGCTAGCAGCTCTGTAAGACTGCTGACAGCATAACAATGGTTTTGGTTAAATGTTAACATCAGCATGCTAATATGCTCACACGGACAATGCTAAAGTGATTAGTAGGTATAATGTTTACCATGTTCACCATCTTAGTTTTGCATGTCAGCATGCTAGAATTTGCTGACATTAAACAAAAAGTACAGCTGAGGTTGATGGGAATGTAATTAGTTTTGTAGGTATTTAGTCATAAAATAAAGTATTGGACAAACTGAGTTTTTGACCTGATGATGGTGCTAGATATGAAGTCAGGGTATGCCCAAAGTCACTAGGATTCATCCTATGATGACAATGAATGTCTCTTCCAAGTTTCATGGCCGTCCATCCAATAGTTGTTGAGATATTTCCGTCTAGACCAAAGTAGTAGACCAACTGACCATCCACAGAGGCATAAAATAGGGCTAAAAACCCAAAGTGATTCTGTATCTGCGAAAAGCAGAGAAAAAAAGGAAATAGAAGTGTCTATGTGTTTATGCTACAAAATTGTGGTTTCTAAGATCTCAATCTAACAGTGTTAGCATGCTCTTTCTCTTGCTTCTGTGTGGTTGTGGCTGATGAAAAGAAACAGGCACAGGGTAGAACATAGAGGTTGTACCATTACGATCCTACGAATGAACTGGAGATCATGTCTGTCTGTCTGTCTGTCCATCTGTTGTCTGTTTCACATCTCTGAGTCACTGGCTGGATAATGACTTGTTGTTAAATGTGTTCTCTCACCGTCTCTTCCGCTTTCTGTCTCTCTTTCACAGTGCAGCATCTTGCTTCAGTAAAAACATTCTCAACAAGAGCTTCAAGTCTCACGATAATTCAATCAGACAGCTCTTACTGGGATGTTAATGTGATGCAATGCCCCCAAAAATGCATTACAAGTGTTATTCTATTCCTCCCTTGTTCCATCAGCCTAATATGGTTTTCAAGGTGCTTTTTCAGGAAATTCAGTGGAAGCACAGATGAACCAACTGCTTGGTTTGGACCAAAAATATATCAAAACCTAATGTGGATGGAATGATAATAAAATCATAGCTGGTATCCATGTAATTTTTTAAATATGTTGTGAACCTGCTTAATTAAATACTGCTTAAAGTATATAGCATCTTTGTTATTGTGAACAAATTTAATAAGAGGACCAAAGATGACAATGTATCTGTCCATCTCTTAGCACTTTTCAAATTCTTTACCCTATCTGCGGCTCTAAGCAACAAGCCCATTGATTGACTGATTGAGTGATTGAAGATGTAAATCTTTAAAACGGCGACAAAAACATTTAAAATGTTTCAATGTAATATCATGTAATTTCTAAAATGACTGGGCACTGCCGTTTTTAGCATGACTGGTGCATTTGATGGGAATTATTTCCAGCTGTGGATTTGGTGTGCTAGTGAGTATTTACATTAGCAGGCAGGTGAATCTGGGATCTACAACAAGAAAATAAAAATCATAATGAAGGAATGTGTCATTCAGTGCTATGGTGTGGCTCATTGATGTGTTAATGTTTTTTGGGGGCAGACTCAGAAATGACAGTAGTGTTGTTTGGTGTCAAAGGCATGCATTTGTTTTTGTTGTGTGCAGTATGTATGGGTTCTGACATATTTTTGCAAAGCAATGTGACATTTAGGATAAAAAATAAAATAAATATGCTGTTGACCAACTTGATGACAATTCAGTGTAATAGTTTTCAGCATAACTATTAGTTGGGACACCACAATGTTTCTGATATAAAGTTACCAAGGGAGGAAGTAGGCCACAGTTAAAATATGATATAATGCACACATAATTGTTTCAAATCAAGTAAACAGAACACATACTGGCATCTGTTATAGTTTGCATTAAAACCTAACTGGAAA